ATGCATCAACTGACAAAGTTTGATGATCATAGGTCTGAAAGTATTCAAAATATGCCTTTTAAACAATTTGAAAACAAATGCCGATAAAATTCAAAAAGTAGGTCACAGTGACCTACTTTTTCAGAAATATGTTTTAAGGCCCCAAGATGCATCAACTTACAAGGTTTGGTGAATCTAAACCTCTCAGTATCTGAAATAATGGGATGAAATGTTTTAGAAAAGATGAGCCATAAAATTCAAAAAGTAGGTCAAGGTGACCTACTTCTAAGTTGACCTTGTTTAAGGACCCAAGATGCATCAACTGACAAAGTTTGATGATGATAGGCCTTAAAGTGTCCAAAATATGCATCCAAATCAATTTGAAAACAAAAGCCCGTAAAATTTTAAAAGTAGGTCACCATGACCTAATTTTGTGTTAACATGATGTGAAGTCCTTAGATGCATCAACTTACAAGATTTGATGATCCTAGTCTTTATAGTAAGCAAAATATCAACGTTTTTATTAAGTGTAAATTTTGGTTAACTTTGAAGTGACCTTGAGACCACGCCCTTTGCCCCAGGGTCATGCCTTGAACAATTTCTATTCTTCAACATATCCTGAACCTTGTATGTAAGTTTGGTGAAAATCTGCCTGGTGGTTCTGGAGAAGATTTTTTAGCAACCAGTACTTTTGGTTCTATTTTCCTGATTATCTCCCCTTGTTTTAGGGTCCCAACCCTAGTTTTAGTATAAATGGTAGCCCTTGGGCCAAGGATGCCCTGTAACAAATTTGACAATGATTGGCCAAGGGGTTCTTGAGTTATGGCCCATATTCTAAAAAGTTAACGCACACCGCACGAAGCACAACGCACAAATGGCCATAGCATTAGCTCTTTGAGCCTTTGGCTCAGAAGAGCTAATTATTTCAGTGTACTTAAATGCATGGCTGTAGGAACTGGGAAGGGGAGCCCCCCCCCCCCCCCAATAATTTTGCCTATGTACAGCTGTATATAGCAGTATACTGTAGAAAACATAGCTACTGTACTAAATGATCACGCCCCCTCAATAAATCGTAAGATAACTTTTTTTTTTGGTGGGGGGGGGGGGGGTGTCTATCCGAATTTTTTTCAACCAGAGAGCTACAGATCTGCAGCTGGGGGGGGGGGGGGGTAGCTGCAGATCTGTAGCTCTCTGGTTGAAAATAATATCCGAATTTTTTTCAACCAGAGAGCTACAGATCTGCAGCTGGGGGGGGGGGGGGTGTTCAAGAAATTTTTGGTAGTTGAGAGTGCCCCCAAATGAAAATAAACGGTTGGCCCCCACCCCTGAAATTTCTTCCTACGGGCCTGAAATGACGGGGAAAAATCATTGAAATAGGCTAGACCTTGACTTTTGTAGTTTGAATGAAATAATTAAATACCTGAATACTAGGAGTTGAAATGTGAAAATGCGTGTGAATGCATCGAAGTGCATATGTACAACTGAGCCACTGCTAACACGATAAGATAGTAGCTTTTCGTACTGGTAGATGCTTCGAGATGTTCATCAGGCACAAAAATTTGTTGTCACAGTGACTATCATTCTCCCTCCTGAGTGGATATACTCTGGAAGACCATCCCAACACAGGATAATAATACTGAGGGGAGGGAGAACTTTTTTTAAATTCTTAAACATGAAGTTAAAATAGTTTTTAATTTGACAAGACTTTGGAATGAATTTTTAAAAAATACAAGTATTATTTATCCATGTCATTTTTTTTGCGTTGAACGCGGACCATAATAAAGAGAAAATCAATTTTATTTTTAATTTACAGATGCAGAGCTGCCAACATTCTGAAATGACAAATAGTAAGGCGGGTTCGAGAGACCGCTTAGGCACCCTGCCGCTGAAGATGTTTTGTAAAAGGACATACAATCTGAGGTTTGTTTTCATTTATTTTACTTTAAAAACATTGACATGAATGTGATCGGCCTTCTAAAACTGTAAGGATGATACAAGCAATCCTTATAAGGATTATGAATGTATTTAAATAGTAGAAAGTATAAACTGCCACCTATGAAAATTCCGGTAATATAAACTGAACTAGAAAAACCGAAATCGGAAGAATATAGAAAGAAATCGTAAGGCGTATTTTAGAGGCTGATTTCGTACGCTTTACGCCAAAATCGGAAGGGTTGGCAGCTCTGCAGATGGCCTAGTCAACAATTCTTCCTAGTAAGTACATATCATAAATCCATCTAAGCCCTTTCCTTGGGTATTCTGATTTATCAAACCTTTAAAATTAATAAAAAACATTTTGCACCAGCGCATTCTATTTTCATTAGATACAAAACTAATACATTATACTGTTCCATTCAGTGATACATAACAATGGACAAACAAAAAGGCAGAAAACAAGAGGCCCATGGGCCACATCGCTCACCTGAATAACTTGGGTGATGCAGATCTTTACCAGATTCCCCCTCTTGCTATAGTCCTATCTTGCCCCACTACCCCCTTCCCTTTTATGATTTTAAAACTTTAGAATCTACACTACCCCAGGATGTTTCCACATAAGTTTCAGCTTTCCTGACCCAGTGGTTCTTGAGAAGAAGATTTTTAAAGATTTGTTCTATATATTTCTATGTAACAAGAGGCCCACGGGCCTTATAGGTCACCTGAGTATCATGAAACAACTTTCCGAATATTAAATTTGGTTTGTGTTTTAAACCAGATTCCATGAAATTCAAGATTTTGAAAGAAGCGCCATTGCTTATCATAATTATACACTTTATAGAATTATAGAAAGTGTAATTATACACTTTTTAGAATGCTTACTCTAGTTACTTAATACCCAGAGTTAGATCTGAGTAAGAAAGAGTAAATGCATTTTCACTTTATAACCAGCTAGTGTTGCACCCCACCCCTCAGGAACCACTGACCCTGGGGCCACACATTTCAAAATTTTGGAAATTTTATCATAAATTTTATTTCAACATAAACGGTTCATTAATACCACAGAGCAGATTTCAAAGCATTTAATATTTATCTTCAGACTATGTACTTTACCCCCCCCCCCCCTCCTTCCCGATATCCCTGACCCAGAGATCATGAAATTTATCATTTTGCTAGATGCACCTTTCTTCATCATAAATATATAAACTAAGATCATTCGCATAATACCTAGGAGCAGTGGAATAGATTTTCAAAGAATTCATGCATTTTCACTATATATAATCATTAGAGCTCCACCCTAACACCAGAACCCCTGACCCAGGGGCTATGAAATTCACAGTTTTGGAAGAAGCATCCTTCCTCATCATAACTATGTACATATTTCATTTGTTTAATACCAAGGAGCAGAGAAGATGATTTTTGAGAAACAATGTATTTTCACTATATAGTCAATAAAGCCTAGCCCTTACATCACAACCCCCAACCCAGGGGCCACAAAATTCACAATTTTGGAAGAGACACTCTTGTTCATCATAACTGTATACTTACTTAGTCTGCTTAATACCCAGGAGCAAAGAAGAAGATTTTTAAAGAATTCATGCATTTTCACTATATAATCAATAGAGCCCCGCCCTAGAACCCCTGACCCTGGGGCCATAAAATTCACAATTTGGAGGATGCACTCTTGGTCATCATAACTATGTTCTTAGTTAGTTTATTTAATACCCAGGAGAAGAGAAGACGATTTTAAAAGAAATAATGCACTTTTACTATATGATCTATATAGCCCCGCCCTTACACCAGAACCCCTGACCCAGAGTCCATAAAATTCAAAATTATTGAAGAGGCACTCTTGGTCATCATAACTATGTTCTTAGTTGCTTTATTTAATACCCAGGAGCAGAGAAGAAGATTTTCAAAGAAATAGTGCACTTTTACTATATGATCTATATAGCCCCGCCCTAACACCAGAACTCCTGACCCAGGGGCCATGAATTTCACAATTTTGGTAGAGGACTCAATGCTGATTACAATCATGTCAACAGTTTGACTGTTTGATGTCCAGGAGTAAGGAAGAAGATTTTTAAAGATTGCATTAATTTTAGTGGTTTTGGCCCCACCCCTCAGGCCCCAGGGGGGCAGGGACCATGAAATTCACAATTTTTGTTCCCCTTTATCTATAGATGCTGTATACCAAATTTGGTTGAAATTGGTTCAGTAGTTCCAGAGAAGAAGTTAAAAATGTTCAAAAGTTTACGAACGACGTACGACGTACGACACACGACGTACGACGAACGACGACAGACGAAAACGGATAGCAATAGGTCACCTGAGTTTACTCAGGTGACCTAAAAATTTGATTCTCTATTGTGGCCCCGCCCTACCCCCGGGGGTCATGATTGTAACAATTTAATATCTACACTACCCGAGGATGCTTCCACATAAGTTTCAGCTTTCCTGGCCCAGTGGTTCTTGAGAAGAAGATTTTTAAAGATTTGTTCTATATACTTCTATGTAAAACTTGGATTCCCTATTGTGTCCCCGTCCTACCCCCGGGGGTCATGATTTTAACAATTTAATATCTACACTACCCAAGGATGCTTCCACATGAGTTTCAGCTTTCTTGGCCCAGTGGTTCTTGAGAAGAAGATTTTTCAGTGACCCCACCCTATTTTTGTCTTTTCTTGATTATCTCCCCTTGTGAGGGAACTTGGCCCTTCATTTTAACAATTTAAACTCCCCTTTACCCAAGGATGCTTTGTACCAAGTTTGGTTAAAATTGGCCCATTGGTTCTTGAGAAGAAGTCGAAAATGTGAAAAGTTTGCAGACGGACAGACGGACGGACAGACAGATGGACGGACGACGGACAAAACGTGATCAGAAAAGCTCACTTGAGCCTTCGGCTCAGGTGAGCTAAAAATGGTTGTCCCGGACCTGTCGTCTGGCAATGCTATTTGTCTAGCCCTGAACCTTAGATCCCCCTTTACTTTTTTGATGTCCCCTTCTATTTCGATTCTTCAGGACAACCCAGTATATTGCAAGGATGTACCTGTTCATGTTCCTGTGACCAAAGACAAGAAAAAACTTAACACTTCAGCAATTTATTTTCATTATATTTTTAAATTGTTATATGAAAAATAAGTAATATTATAATAAACCAATTCAACAGATAAATATTATAAGTTATTAAATATTAAATGTCAAACAGTGTATTACCTATAAATTTATAGAGAGTCTAAACAAAAATAAACTTGTTATCAATAAAAACATCTACATGTATGAGGTAACCGTTCCTGAATTCATCCTAGATTTACTTGATGTCACACAGAGCTGCTACACCCCTTAAAATCCAGTGATCAGGACTTTGATTTGTCTTTAATACAATGAAAGTAATGTAGGTGAGATCTGTGCGGTTTGGCTTTTTGTAGACAGGACACTGGTATAACCTAGGGTCTTTGGGAGCTGTGGAATTGATAGCATACATGTGAACTACAGGCATTGGTGTGAAGAGAACTTTGGGTGGGGGCTCACAAAGGCGACAGTTTCTCTTGTCCCAACCAGCACCATCTAGGTAAAGTCCATACACATACACACCCTCCTACAACAAACATTCCAAGTTTTCTGTTGAACTCAAACATCAAGAAATCTTGAAAATAGCATATGCACTTCCTTGGACATTTCAAGTAATTAAGAACAGTTGACTCACCACTGGTGGAGCAGTTATGTCTTCCTTCACTGCCTTGATAACCTCATTGTGTAAAGTCACAGAATCAAGAGCCCAACCTTTGTGTGCTCTTGTAACCTCTTGTCTCATTGCAGTCAAAAATCCTAAATTAACATCCAAAAACTAAATTTAATATATAGCCAATAGAATCATGGCATGTACTACTGACAACTCAGGATGAAAACAGATCATAACCAAATAGATCACCTGAGTTATGTGGATGACATAAAATGATCATTACTGAATCACAACACTGGATAAGTATCTATTAGTTTCTTTGAAGAGCTCTTGATCACACCCTATTACCGGCAACTGTGACAACCGATGCAACTGTGACAACAGACGGCAAAGTTATCAATCAATATGACAGAGACCTAATTGATATCATAATTTTGACTATTTATAACATTCATTTACTTTCGTTTGGTGGTTTCCCGTGTTGATCTAACCTTAAATTATTTTTCTGTTAAATATAAAACTATGATTCCTTATTGAAACAAAACAAGAACAGAATAAAGCTAAATTTCAATCGTTGTTCAGGAAAAATTGGTCAAATTGAGCTTATATAATAAAAATTGCTATTCTACGGTCACATTTCTTGTTGTATATAATAAATTCAGACTCTTTACGACATAACTTTAAAATATGGATAATTTTTGTTGTTTAATAAAAGCGCCGCAAGCGTTTAATTTTGTTTGGTGAAATCATTTTGGCTATCAGGTACAACAGACGAGGCAAACAATGACAGCAGATTTAAAACGAAATACGGCAATCGGAAACAGTGGATACAAAATTTGATCAAGTACAAATTAGCTGTATCCTGATACTAGTAGGCTTCAAATTAAGTCAAGACATATTTTGGCTGTCAATATTGGTCAAATGTATGGTACTTGCTATCAAAGGAATTTATGGACATGCCCCTCGGAGGGGGGGGGGGGTGTTATTCCTCTCCACAAGTACCCGTGCATGGTTGCCATACGGCAGCTACTGAATAACTATTCTTTGATAATCAACATGAACATGTCTAAATAAGACGGCCCAGTGGTGTTCGTAAAGAAGATGGGGGGATAAGGCGGACGAAATGCCTATAGTGCGACAGATAAGAAGTTAAAAATCAAATCTCAATTGTATCAGAATTTTATTTGATATTTTATCTAATAATGAAGTTTATCTAATCTAAATCTCTACAATTTACAAAAATCTGACACAGACTGAAAATATTTGCCTATGAAAAAACTAAAAAGAACAAAAAGGATCAGTTTCTCATACTTAAACAATTTTTTTTAATATGAGTGGGTCTTCGTTCCATTTTTTAAAAAGATGATCCTAAAAGTTTGCAATAGAATATACAATTTGTGGTTTACTAAAACATGAAGCGAAGACCCACTTTACTTTAAAAGTACACTTTTATGACAAAAGATTCGCATCTTTTAGAGAAATACTTTAAGTCCATTAAGTCAAGAGTAACCGGTATATCACAGACATTATTTTTATGCCCCAAATCATCATGAACCATGTAGCATAGTGGGTAAGGCGTTAGTCTCAATCTCAAAGCAGTATGATTTGTCGGATTTTTATTGCTAGGGTTCGAATCTCACTAAAACCATCTAGTATTTTTATAATTTTGTCGATTTTTTTTTTCTTAGAAAAGTTTTTTTTTTCTAATAATATCATAAATTCAATAATTGGAAGTTGATCTAAATACTAGTACTTAATTCACATATTGAATATGATTTCTTAATACATGTATTTGTTGCCATAAGCATTATGCCCGCCTTGTTCCCCCATCTTCTTTTGTTTTTCAACGATAAGAAACAGAAAACGGATATTTGGAACTGTAACATATCAAGGACCACAGTAAAGTACTTAAAAGTGATTTTTTATGTACAAGTTTTATGTAGTTATAAACTTAGGTTTTTAAAATTGCTAATTTTGGCATTCCTCAGGAAACTGTTATGTTTGCTGCAGACTTTAGCAAACAAAAATGTACACAGGAAAAGTTTTCTTGCAGATTATTGTCGCTCGCTGCGATGTTGCGGCCGACATTACAACTATTGCTATATTATCTTGCAAGAACTCAAAATGTTTGCAGGAACATTGCAAGAAACATACATGCCTCTATATACAGCAGCAACAAGTTCGTTGGAAACGCATGACAGTAAACAAGTCAAACCAGCCAATGAAATGTAGACTGTACCTAGGTCAACAAAGAATTCGCCATTTTGAAATATTTCAATTGAAGTTGTAGATATCACACAACGTCTGGCTGATAAGATATGGTTTTGTTTTATTTTTTCTTATTATAAAACTGTTTGCTATAAGCTTGTCAAAACTAGCGACAAACTTGCTGCAAACACAAAGGTTTTAAAAGTTTGTTATGGTTTCTTTAGCTTCGTTGCAGCGAAGGATCCTTTGCAGCAACGTTTGTGTAGCAAGTTTGCATCAATGTATGTTGAAGACTTGCAGCAAATGTTTGCAGAGAGATCATATTTCGTTCTTAGATAGACAATCATCTTCTGAAATAATAAATTATATAATGTATAGAGATGTCTGACAACTAGTCATATTTTTGTCAGTGATCTTGATAAGAAAAAAACGTTTAAAAAGTTGAAATCCAGATTAAAATAAATGTGTTACCGATTGCCATTATCTGTCGTCAGTGTTTGCCACAGAAACGAACATCTGTTGTTCACGACAGCCAAAATGTCTTGACCCATCAAAATCAAACACTTGCAGCACACTTGTTAAACAACAAAGTCCAATCACATTATAAAGTTATGGTGTAGAGAGTCTAAATTAATTATATACAACAAGAAATAAGACCGCAGAGTAGTAGTTTTTATTTTATAAGCTGAGTTTAACCAATTTTTCTTGAATAACGATTGAAATTTAGCTTTATTCTGTTCTTATTTTGTTTCAATAAGAAATAATTGTTTTATATTCAACAGAAAAATAGTTTAAGGTTATATCAACACGGGAAACCACCAAACGAAAGTAAATGAATGATATACATAGTCAAAATTATGATATCAATTAGGTCTCTGTCATATTGATTGATAACTTTGCCGTCTGTTGTCACAGTTGCATCGGTTGTCACAGTTGCCGGTAATAGGGTGTGTTGATAGGAATGGATAATAAATGAATTGTTTGCCAACATTTAAACCTTGTGGGTTGAAAAATCCTGTCATCCAGAAAGAATCTGGTCTTCCAACAAAAACCCAAGTAGAAAACTGGTCATTTCTTTCCAAAAGTTCTGTGAACCAAAATCCTAATGTTGATGACTGCCAAGATATTTTTCTCCATAAACTGGGGACTTTTGCATCAAACATGTTGTCAAGGGCATCTCGAAGATTCTAAAAGATGGAAATCAGGACACTATAAACCTCAATGCTTATAGTAATAATATATTTTGTATTTATAATAAATCAGCATCATTCCAAAACTTGATTGTGGCAATAAAGCAAGTACATGTACCTGTACTAAGATTCAATATATATTACACATATATTACATGGCTTCAAGGGCAGCATACCAGAATATTTGCCCCTCGGTGACAAGAAAGCCCTGGAGTGTTATGTCACCCGATGCCAAAGGCAGAGGGCGACATAACACTCCAGGGCTTTCCTGTCACTCAGGGGCAAATATTCTGGTATTGCTGCCCGAGAATTAAGCCATGTAATATATAGTATATAACATTTTTAAACATTGATCCCCAATTGATCATCGAACATATTAATTGAACACTATGTTCACATGTACGTTGAGCATAATTCCGACATATCCCATTCTGTTTCATTGGAGAAATTGAATGTTTTCAGTATACTGACACTTTGTTGTATTTAAGGATTTTTTCTCCTCAATTAAATTATCCAATTTCTCTGAATTTAAGTAAACAAATCGCAGACTTTGTGCCAACTTTTTAATTTTCTCGGAACTGTTTACGTTTGCTTAGCAAATGCCTCTGTGAATTTTGAACCCGACGTAATTAATATGCAGAATGACTGCACGTGAGGGAACTTAACTGTGTTCAGGAGGGCAGTATAACTGTTTCCAGTGGAATATAACTGTACCAGGCGTGATTCGGCAGTCTTTCGGGGCATATGGATAAAATATTATATTTGTGATATAATGGGAAAACTTCTTTAAAAATGTTATATAACATACTGATACCCCCACTATATCTTGACAAAACTTGTGTTCTTGAAAACTATAACTTTTATGTTCCCTACTAATATTATAATGTAGAGAATCCTACCTCAGACATAATGATTGTACCATCAATGGCTAACTTTAAATCTGTTAGGGTGACACGGACTGTGGAAATCACACGTTGCATCCTATCTATTTCTTGCTTTAAGAATATATTAAGAGGATGCAGGTTTCCATACTTTTTCAGTCTGTCTTTAACCTGAAAAAAAAAGACGTATTATTAGCATTAATTCTTGACAAAAAATTAAATCAAGTTGGTTCCATAAGTTTGAAAATTGAAATTTAAGAGAATAATACTTTTAAAAAACAAACAGGATCAGGTCAAAGAACCTTGAGAATCAACTGAAAACAACCTAGCACTCTCTGGGGCACAATGATTTAAATGTTGTTGATCACCAGAGGACAAAACAAGTTCTTGAGAAGATTCTTAAATACCCCAACCAAATTTTCACTTTGATCTCCCCTTGGAAATGGGTATTTCCTTTCATTTGAACAAACTTGAATCCCCTTTATCCAAGGATACTCTGTGACGTTTTGTTGAAGTTGTTCCAGTAGTCCTGGCAGCGAAAATGAAAATGTGAAAGTTTACGATAATAATGACATGCAGTGCCAATGACAGACAACTGACAAATTTTGATGAGAAAATCTTACTTGAGCCCTCCACTCAGGTGAGCTAAAAATTAAAAATTATATTTCTGCTCCAAAATACCTACTGACAAAAATATTTTAGTTTTTAGCACATTTCTCAAAGTCGCCCTCTTCTGAACATTACCTCATGAGGAAGGTAATCCACAGGAAGTTTGGACAACATGTCGGTAGAGAGTTTATAGACAACACTCTCTCTGGTCTCCCCTCCTCCCCCTCCACTGTCTTTAGGCTGAATGCTCATGATTGTATCAAGAACATCTTTGGATAAGTTTGTTTGATATCTGAAAAAAGTGTTACATTGTATCACAAATTAAAAGCCACATTGAATACCGAGTATATTAGCATGGAAATGAAGACTACTCACTTGAAGGCAATTCCTATTAGGTTTGTCATAATTTTATCATATAAAAGACAGATAATAAAGAATTATAAATCTCATTATTCCATTAAACAAAACAAATCAAGAACAGGGCAAACATAAGAACCCCCTGGAAACACCAGAGGTGGAATCAACTGCATTGGAGGTTTGCATGAAAAATAATCTTAATTTTCTGAAAAGTTGACACAGTCTAAAAGAGCTTCAAAATATGTTTAGCTCACCTCAACGAAGTTGTGGGGAGCCTATGTAATACCCTCGGCGTCGGCGTCCCGGGTTAAGTTTTTTGGAGCAGTTTTCTTTTTAAGTACCTCTATGTCCTATATTGATTAGACATGCATGAAAGATGTTTCTAGTGTGTTTCATTGTACCAGTCAAAGTTTCAGATGCTGCAATTTCAGCAAAGGAATGACCAGGTTAATGTTTATGGGGCAGGTTAACATTTTTGGTGCAGTTTTTGGTGTAGGTCTCATTTCCGAGTAACTATAAGCCCGATGTTGACCAAACTTGCATGGATGGTACATCTTAGGATGCATACTACCAGACTTGCTTCGGATGCTGCATCTAACCTACATTTTCCGGTTGAGTGAACAGGTTCAAGTTTTTGGTGCAGGTTTCATTTCCAAGTTACTATGAGACTTATAGTGACCAAACTTGCATGGATGGTACATCTTAGGATGCATATTACAAGACTTGCTTCGGATGCTGAATCTGACCTACATTTTCCGGTTGAGTGAACAGGTTAAAATTTTTGGTGCAGGTTTCATTTCCAAGGTACTATGAACCCTATAATGACTAAACTTGCATGGATGGTACATCTTATGATGCATACTACCAGACTTGCTTCGGATGCTGAATCTGACCTACATTTTCTGGACGAGTAAACAGGTTAAAGTTTATGGTGCAGGATTCATTTCCAAGTAACTTTGAGCTCTATAATGACCATACTTGCATGGATGGTACATCTAAGGGTGCATTCTACTAGGCTGGCTTCAGAAGCTGAATCTGACCTACATTTTCAGGATTAGTGAAAAGGTTAGTTTTTAAGCGGTTAGCTTCGCTAGCCGCTATATGGCATGTGTCGGCAACCGGAAACCTCCATAAGGCGCTACCTGTCGGCATCGCTTTATCGCTCGTAACCTTATCCTTCTGGAACCAAAACCGGAAACTTCCACAAGGACCTACCTATCAACAACGGTAACTTCAGCAAATGATTTGTATACTGTCGGCGTAATACGCCCCCTGGTTAGAGATTGACAATATGCTGTGAAGTCTGACTAAAGCCAGCCCCTACTATATCACTTCGTACTAACGAAGTATATGCTGTGTATGAAGAGTGGCTATTATAACGATTATATCGAATTCTTATTAGTATATTTACCAAAGCATTGACAATACTTACAACACTTACTTTTAAGAACTGAGAATTTGGTCCTTATTACATGTGTATCGCGCGATCGCGATTTCTGGCAACTGTTAGTTTATTTTTGAAAGTTTATTATACAGCAGGTTGGAGGTTATTACAGACTGCAAAAACATCAGCAAATCTCTCGATCGAGTTTGTTTTTCCTTGCCAAAGTATTAAGAAACACCATTTATTAAGTTAATACCTGAAAAGCGCTTTTATAAAAACACCGAACGCATCTGTAAGTTTTACACTTTTTGTAACGTTTTATGGAAACAATAGGGTTACCTCCACTATGAAACGTTTGTTTTTCTTCTCTTTTCTTCTCTGTCTAATAAACAGATTATAAAAGCTCTGCTCCCAGGGATAAATTCTCTACTCCGTCTTTGATAATTTATAACAATCGATCATAAGGGATTACTTAGTATTAGTTTTGTAAAAAATAATGGAGCACTTTAAGTAGTAAAATCAATTTTGAAAAAAAAATGGAGAAAATATATATTAATTTTAATCAGCATTGTGATCCTCTTCTAAAAATCAACCGATATTGTTTTCACAGAAGAATGAGGTATGAAAAATTTTGGCAATTAGCAAAAAAAAATATATACTTAATGCTTATTTATAAGTTTTGAAAATTTGATCAATTCCTAAGGAACGTATTATTAGCTGTGTAAATACTTTTAAAATTTGAATTTTACAATTTGTCGATTATTGTTTTAAACGTTTGAGAAGGATAAAATTAAAATACAGGTGTTTAGAGGCACATTGATAGAAAAGAAATCAGTGTATAACAGGGTATTATTTCAGCTCGGAATAATTATTTCATTCGGAATCTAAAGAATTAAAAATAATAAGCTACTAAGTCTCCTTACATGTATTTGTAGCTCAGTAGAAAAATATGTTGCCTTAGATCTCTGCATATTTTGTGAGTATTTGGGTCAAGATTTTGTTTATAAACTCATTAAAAAAGTTATTCTATTTTCTGTTAATTATTTCTTCTTATCTGTTTATTTGTTTGTTATTTGTTTGTTTATTTATTGTTGTGTTTGTTTATTTATTGGTGTAAACAAGGCTGCATGTACTGGCAGGGGTTAGATGAATTTTTTATTGGGTTAGTTGGCGCATGCCCAAAGGGGTTAGTCGCCGCCGGGTGTCGACTAACCCCTTTGGGCATGCGCCAGTTGTGTTAGTTAAAAATCCTGTAGTAAATCCATATTCAATGTGTACTCGGTCTGTATTGTTAATCAGTCCACGCAATGTACGTAATAAACGGTAATTAACACTGTAGAAGTGTTATTTACTGCCACGATGCGCTTAAATCCTAAGTATTTCATTCCAAGTATCCATGAATGAAGACTAGACCCGGGTCCCTACACCATGTGCACATGCCGATCTCCCGAAGAAAATAAATCACGGAGCAAGAGAACGAAAATACATACCAATGCATATTCATCACGATAACTGAAAACATATAGTCGTAAGAACGATTAAATCCAACAAATAGCCAGTGAAACGCGGCGATGTCAACACTGCCAATGCACTACAAACAACTCCTGTTCGACGTCATTTTTCGAAGTACGACGTCACAGGTACACTGTTTTCCCGAACTTTCTCTCTGTATCAAAATGGCGTATAGGCATTGTACGTAATATAAGGTATTCTGTCACTAAGGTACATCATTTAAACATTATTTTTTTAGCTGAACGTTTTCCTTTACCTGGACAACCAAATATCACAAGAGGGAATGAATGTGAAAAGTGTTTAGTACAAAAAAACAGGCTTTAAAAATTGCAAGATCCAGGATCCGCGCACTTGTTTCAGCTCCGCTAAGAGGTGCAGTTTTAGTGTGCACATCTCAAGTTTTCGATCTATTGTGACGTAGGCCTATCACTCGGGGACAGAATAAAGTGAAATGCAGTATGTCTATAGATCTGCAAGAACATAATGAAGGCTAATAAGGTGTTGAAAATATTTCTTGTATCTTTCTTTTGTATTCATCATTCATATAATATTTTGATAAAAGGAAGGGGGTGAGACAATTCTTTTTTTCCCTCATAAATACTGCGTGGCATTTAACCCCTACCTCCGTATTGACAGAAATATTTTTTAATCAATTTTGTATTATTTAAATTTAATTTTATTTTTTGCCGACTTTGAAACAAATCATGTGGTGTGTGTGTGTGGGGGGGGGGGGGGGCATATCGACGCTTACGGAAAGGAAAATTTAATGGATCAAGACAGCGTTTAAAATCTCGGACATTTTCAGGTAGAACACTGCACTTTTCGGCAATAAAACAGGATTGAAGGCCCAATATATGAAAACTTTAATTTAAGGAAGAAATCATGAACTGCGAATAAATCACCGACATCCAAATAAATGAATCTCTCTCTTTCTGAGGCACATACAGTTAGTGTTGTGAACTTTCGCCCATTTTTAGATAGAACTTTTAGTAGCAGAATTGAAGACTTAACATATGAAAAAATTAAAGGAATTAAATTATAAATAAATCACTGAAATCCAATTTCTGAGATTTTAAAATCTACTAATGAAGCAACTGTATAATAAAAATTCCCCGACTTTTAATTTAGTGCATGCACATTAATAAAATATGGCGAAAGAGTATGCTTGAATTGAACTCTTTTGCCTAGACTTTGTACTACATGTTTACGTATATGTGCAGATGGATTTTTATATTTTTTATCAATATTTTGCAATAAATATACTTTTAAAATTCCATTTTCAATTTCTTGGAAAACGTTGAATTGCCGCACATGTACAGGTATATTCCGGAAATATAATTATAGTATTAAAAAAATGTCGGAAATGAAATAAAAATATGTCGGAATGCTATGCAGATTTTGGAAATGAAATGCAGCGAGGGGACGTGTCCCCATTAATTTTGGTGATATCTTCTTCCTTTTGTTGAATGTACTCTCAGTTTGGATATATAGTATATGCTTAGTATTATAGAAAAACAAAGAAACTAGATGCTGGTGTTTTGTAAAGAAATTTTTAGTGGTAGAAAGTCCCCACAACTACTGAAAAAATGTGCACCCCCTCCAAATGGAATTGCTTCATTCAGGCCTTGACAAGTACTGTTAACAAATATGGGGACATTCATTTGTTTAAAAACGCTGTGCGTACATGTAACGACAGCAAATGATTTCAGCAACCGAACAGACATCAACAGATCAGTTTCGATATATATGTACATATTACTACACAAATACCTAATGATTTGAAGTTATGCAGCGCCATATGAGAAATTTACATGTTCTTTTTCAATTTCTGAACTAAATAAAATCCTGAAACAGTATACAAAACGGTACATTATTATTTCAACATACTGTCTTTCTTACTGCCGAATCTTTTGCAAACGAAGTCGAGAACGAGAAGTTATATAACTTATAAAGCTGTGCATGCTTTGCTGTAGTTAGATGCTACGGACAGACACGTAGCATCAGGGGGTTTTCGTAAAAACTTTTTTTGTTGAAAATTA